TACAGTTATTTATTTATATTTCCAGGACACTGAGAAGGCTAAATCCAGTAAAAGTGGATTAGTATAAGCAAATGTTTAAAGCATTATGCCAATCACAAGGGATTTCTGCTGGGTTATACCAGTCCTATTAGAATATATTGTGATTAGCAATTGTAAACAGACCATTACAGGAAGTTGTTTTATAAGGCTAGATAGCCACAGGAAGCAAGGTTGAAGGTCCAAACAACATTCCACTTATCAATGCATTTATAAAGCATATTTGATATAATTATATCATATTTATTCTGATTGCATGGAAAGCCATCCGACAAAGGGCTTTATTTATTAACAGTATGGAAAGCAGCTACATGCAGCACATCATAGCAACCAATCAGAAGGCAAAAAACAATAATTGGACTATGCTGAACTGCTAAAAGTGCCAGTCAAAATTTTCCTTTGGGGTTAGATAGAATGGGAAGGCTGTAATAGAATTTATCTGCTGTCTTTATCTCTAGTGTGGAGGTTTCACGTCATATTCTGCTCTGCCTGACACCAGCTATTGGACAGGAAGTGAGAGTAATCCTTTTAATGGAGGCATATAGCAATACAAATATGACAAAGGGTTCCCATGTCTTCCCTACTTTACAATTGTTTCCTACTCATTTCCCATTTTCTCTTCTTGGCCGGTTTTCTATGACCACACATCAAATGGACAAGATCTGAAGGCAAATCTTCCTAAAGAATATTAAAAGGTGCAGAGGATCTAATTATTTCCACTCAACCCAATTTTTTTTTTTAAATGACTAGAATACGGTTTATAAAGCCTAACTCCAGGCCCCTCCCCCCAAAGCACCCAAGTGGGTTGAATGATGCTGGGTGTCATTCAACCTCAAGGACCTCTGATGTCGAAAAGGAATTACTAGAGTGGACAGTTCCCCAAGAGAAGGGGAGTATTGTAGCCAGAGCTTTTCTTTTATACAAATCCTTAGCCACCATTTAAAAAAAAAAACTCTGCTTTGGACTTTTCTGATTTCTGATTGGTTGCTATGGTTTAATTCTCATCTTTGGTCCTTAGTAAATAAAGCCCAAAGTGACTAGAAACAACAAGTAGGATTGTTTGTTTGTTTGTCATGCCATACATTCATCCTTCTTTCACTGCATGGGTGATGGGCCTTGTCAACTATGCATCATACCTTACCTGTGACAACCTGCTGCTCATCACAGCAGGTTTTGTTCTATGTATGTGTGTTGTTTTCATTAGAGAATCACTCAAAAGGATTGGTGATCCAGTTTTAATCTCTCATTTTCTCCCTATCTACTCTTCCAAGAATGTCACACCTCACCCTAGCCCCCGCTGCCAAGGATCAGAGACAAAATTAAGGTCTTACAGGGTTATAACAGTTATTATTGCTGTTCACAGTTGCTACTATTTAGCATATATCTTTCACTTACCTATTTCTTCCTACTGCAAGATCCATCCTGCTTCCTACAGTAGATTATACTGTTAAAGGACAATTCAAAAATGTATATTTTCTCCCTTTTATTACTGCTAATTGCAGTAAGGTTTCAGCTCCGTCACCAAGGTTAATATTTAATTAACTTATACTAAATTACCTGTTCTATCCAATGTGATTATGATTTGTTTCATTTAACAGGTGTAAAAATGTAAAAGCAAAAACAAAATAGCAAATGGGACTTTATAAACATACAGTATGACTTATGTGTCATCCTTGATCCAACTGTCTACCGAAAACTGGAACAGTTCTCCCTGATACTTGAGTGATGAACCCATCAGTGCTATATCCTTGAAGGATTCCAGTACTGAGATATTGGCTTTTGAGTTTCTAGATCACATGAGTAGGTCTCATCTGACATAACAGGAAATAATGGGCATTGGTTCACATGATATTGGGGGGCAGAGCTGAGAACTTCAGCCATAGATCTCATTACTGGGGTTCCTAAAATATGTTAGCAGCCAGAAGGCGATTCCACTTGCCAGCCTTCACTTATAACTTATAATACCTTTAGGTTTACTGAGACTTAAGACTTCCAGCAGTTATCTCCTCTGCAGTTATTGACTGAATCCATGGTAAATCGAAAGTGGAGAGCAAGCGCCAGATTGCTTTATTTTAAATTAGCAGTGCTCCAGCTGTGGCATAAATGCACAAGCAAAAAAATCCATTCTATTTATATAAAGCATTGTTAGTGAATAGTTTGGGTTTCTTCTTCAGTTCATTTTGAGATTTCACATTCTGGAAAGTAAAAAAAACAACAACTCTGAAACTGTAATTTCCTGTTGTCATTATTTTGTGGACCTGTTATAGAAAACAAACCTTGGACTCATGTAAGTATATGTTTTAAAATATATTCTTCTGTCCAATATAAAATTATTTTTATTAGAGTGAAAGTTTCTTTTTAAGTGTCATTACTTTTATCATGCTTTTTTTATCCAAAGCTAGTCTTTCTTTCTTTCTTTTTTTCTTTCTTTCTTTCTTTCTTTCTTCCTTTCTTTCATCCTTCATTTGTAAATATGTTAGTACTTTGCATCCCCTCTCTTATTTTTTCCCCTTCCTTTACTCCTCCCCCTTTTTTCCCTTCCTTCCTTCCTCTCTTTCTTTCTCCCCCCTCCTCTATCCTTTCATTTCTTACTCCCTCCCCCCTCCCTCCTTTCTTTACATTCTTTTATTTCCATCTTTTTCTTCGTGAATCCCTCTATTTATTTAAGGTCGAACATATCCTTTGACCAAGTGTACTGTATGCCAGTAGCCCTGCTGGAAGTAGGCAGTGTATAGAATGTTATTTGTTGCTCCAGGCTCTTTTGTTCCTTTCAGGATTGCACATTTTAAAGTTCTAGCTATCTCCTTGATGCCATGGGCAAGAATCAACCTTGTCTCTGGATTTGAAATGTGTTGTGATTAGAGTTACGAGTTCAGCTATGTAAATCAGGACATTTGATAAACACATAAAGTGCATTGCTTTGTTACATTCATTCTTATGCATGTTGCATGTGTGCTTAAGTAAAATACATGGACATGAAGGATATATATGACGGCCATGAAGCCACGTAGCATGTACATTTCATACATGTCTAATTTTACATATCTGATGCCGTAATACTGTATGATTTGCTTGACTGGAAATATACACACCGGAGAAGCCATTTTGTTTTGTGGCTTGTGTTGCAATGATAGTTAGTAATGTTTTTTCTTTGACACACTGAAATCTTCTGGGCCTACCTGCACTGTGGTGATGGAGCTGAAACAGTAATAGGGACACGTGGTTTAGGATGAAGCTTGCAGCTGGTTCACCTATCCTTTGTCCCATGACCTCATGAGTGATTTCTCAAGCTGTAACTTATCGAGTGTTATCTATTCATTTTTAAAGAAATCCAGTAAACCTGGCAGTATTAAAACTGAACGAGCAGGGGCTTTTGGACAAATTGAAAAACAAATGGTGGTACGACAAGGGAGAATGCGGCAGCGGGGGAGGTGATTCCAAGGTCAGCCCCAGTAAGAACAAACTAGTGGGTAACAAAACAGCATGATAGTAACCAGCAGCTACCTAAAACACAATATATACCAAGGCCCCGGTGACATTCTACCAAATTTAGAAACCAATTCAAAAACCTTTCATTGTAAAATTGTTTTGGGATGTATTAAAACATGTGAAAAGGAACACGACAACACCACTGATCTAAAATGATATACCTAGAAGATAATTTACTATTAAATACAAATCTGAACTAGTACAACATTTGAACAAGAATAACATAATGTTAATTTTTTGTTCCTGAAAATGGAAGCCGTCTTATTAATTGGTATTTTTCTAAATTATAGTTACACAAAACTAAAAAAAGGTCCCTTTTTGTTAGAAGTAAATTAACTGAAATATATAGAAAGCCTTATTTTTTATATATTCTGAATTACACATTCCTATTTTTTTTATATATTTTTGTACAATAATAACGTAAAGCCCATTTGAACCTTCAGTTTAAATCAGCTAAATACATTCTAGGTGCATCAGAACAAAAGGTTTGCAAAAGTCTTACTTTTTATTTTCCTTAGAAAGCAGCCACATCCTGATGAGAAAAGCCTGTCCTCTGCCAGCATTCGGCAGAGTGAAGCCTTTGCTCTCTTTGTGGAAGCAGTGGTCTCATTGTAGGGTTCTGACACATCCCTGCTGACCCAGACCTATAGCTATGCACTTATCATGCCCACTGATTGAACAGCTTTAGTTCTGACTCAGCAAGAGGTGTGGCAGACTTCTGCAGAGAGACCATTGTTTCCCCACAGAGAGCAAGAGTCGTCCTCTGCAGCTGCTGGCAGGGGACAGGCTTTTCTCAGTCTTAGGCTGTAGCTGCTTTAGAAAGAAAACAAAGTGTAAGACATTGAACACCTTAAGTTTTCATATTAATTTTTATTTCTCCGGAAAAAGTAATCTTATAAAACAACAGTGTGCCCAAGGATATATAGAAATACCTATATATAGTTGCAAATTGAATTGTAGTATGTAAACTATATTTGATCTGCTAAAGCAATGCATATACATCAACAACAAAAGATTAACTACAAAAATATTTGAAATATTGAAACATATTGGAACCTATATATATATGTAAGCACATGAATGTACCGTAGTGCTAAAGTAAGTTATCCACTATTAAGGAGCTCCCACATCTTTACAGTGCATGTTATACATGGCGGCTTCAATTCTTCCTATTAAAAGCATCTAGTAAGACACCGGGTGCAAGAGACTGGCTTGTCCACAGGCAAGGAATGGGTGTTGCTGGTTACTCAAAGTGATATAGTTAATACTCGTCTGGCTTGGCTGGAAGAGAAGGGTTTTAAGGGATGGAGGGATGGAGGGAAGGGAGGGGGAGCTTGATTGAGTATTGAATCGTATCACTTTGCCATGGTTCTCACATATACGTCAATGAATGCCTCAATGAAATGTTGCTATGCTACTGAATAACATAAAATAACATTGGTGATGTTATTTATGTTATTTCCCATGGTTTGAAGAGGTGCTGTAAACCTAGCGGTATTGAAACTCAGTGAGCAAGGCGTCTTAGACAAGCTGAAAAGCAAATGGTGGTACGATAAAGGGGAATGTGGAAGCAAAGACTCCGGAAGTAAGGTTAGTCACGCCCATAACAGAGTTCCCGGCAATGATCACGTGATGCTGCAGGGGCCTTCTGATTGGTTATCACACTTTTCTTGTTATACATGATCTTGCTGCAGCAGGTTTTTTGCAGGTTCGCAACTGCTTGATGTGCTAAATATATATATATAGATATATATATATCACTCTATATATATAGATATATATAGAGATATATATAGAGATATATATAGAGATATTTAATCATAAACTAAACTAAAATATTTGTCTCAACAACAAAGGTTAGGGCTTATAATACATACAAAAATACTACATATAAACAAGAACCATTATTGAAAAATCTCTGTATATTTTCATTTTTAAAAATGAATATCAACAATGAACATCAACTTACACTGTCAGTCTAAAGGTTTAATTTATTCGGCATTTGATTTTTGCCATAAGGATCATTAATTTTAGCCATTTCAGCTATCAGCGACTACTATAAGATAACGGTCAGTATGGCAAAAAAAAATCACTATAACCTAATAGTTTTAACCTTCCTTTTCTTTTAGTTCTGTGGGAGCAATAGATACACACATTGAAATAATATTAAAATATGTTAAATGAATTAAACAACTTCCACATCAAAATTGCAAACATGCTGTAAAAAATATAAATTAAATAGATAGGTAAATAGCATCGATTAAATAAATAAATAGATAGATAGATAGATAGATAGATAGATAGATAGATAGATAGATAGATAGATAGATAGATAGACTCTTGTATTTTTAATTTTTTTTTAATAACATTTCTGTTATCGAAATTTGTAAAAACAAAATGAATGAATGGGGATAAAACATAAATCAGTATTAAGTACTATGTCATCTATTATTACTGTAGGAATTTTACCACTATTGGATTTAAAATGCCAAAGGCTGGTCACACATGTTACAACCTGATTGCACAGTCTCCTTCAGATTTTCTAAAAACTATGTAGTAAGAGTAAGATATAATTGTTTTCTTAAAATAAAATTATTTCTGGAATTAAAAACAAACATATTCAGCACATTTCTACAATACATTCACATACTTATTTTATCACTTTAAAAAATCTACACATACCAAAAAATACCTGTCAATCCTTCCTCGAAATTCAATGAGCTCCTAACTTCCTGCAGTGAGCTGATAACCTGATGGAGATTATACAGGAACAAAAGCCACCAGCTTTTTTTGCTGGATCTTGGTAATGTCAGTTGTCACGAAAGCACAGGCATTCCCAGACATTCCTAGAACAGTATTTCTCATACATTTTTTCTAGCCATGTATCACTATAACTTCCTTCCCATAGTGGAGAGCCTCAAGTACTATTACATTTTACCATATGTGCTGCCTAGTTTAATGGGTTTATGTACACTGATAGCTAGGATTCTGTTTCTGAGATTGTCAGTGTTCCATAAGAACACTGCCCTCTGCAGAATGTCGCTGGAACCAATATATAGTGATCAAGCGGCCACACAATCGTAGAGCAATAACACAGCTGTTTCATTGAATACTTAAAATGAGAAAAAGTCAATTCAAAAGGGTTACATAAAGCAGTTTTTCCAGGTAACCCCCTTTATCAGGCACTGCCATCTAATTCTGATACAGATTTCCCTGACCTTATTGGTGGTTACCATTCAAGTTCACATTTCTAGCAAGGTAATATAGTTGCTTTAACTATACACTTGTTGTGATTGGTTCCTGTGTCATATAAAGGTCAGAAATTTTGAGTAAGGGAGTTACTCCAGAATATCGTTATATGTCGGTGTCATAAGTGACCCTGTCTCATTTTAAGGATTTAGGAACTGTGTTATTGCTATGATGATGTTGGCCATTTTAGGAATGGGTTTTTGCTGCTATCCAGAACTACGCTCCTTTCCTGTTCTGGTGACAATGGTTCCTCCAGAAAGAAGTGAGGGTAAATCTACAACAGCAATACAGACAAAATAAAAAAATCCTTTTTAAAGTAGAGTTGGGGGAGGTTAGAACCTCTGTTAGATTTGTCTTGCTGTGTGTGTCCCTGTTTTTTGATTTTTCCTTGCCTCCAGTCTAGTAAACCATTGTCACTGGTAAAAGGAAGAAAGAGAAAAATCTCTGTAATGGAGACCAGTATAGCAGTAACCCACCACCAACAACAAAAACAACAACCACCATCACCACCAACCACCACCACCACCACCACCACTTTATTCAAAACAAAATAAAAAAAAACATTTTGGCTGGACTTACACAATAAATAGCATGCTCCCCAACAACCTATGTGAATGTTTGCTGTTTTTCCAATCAGCCCTAATTTTACTAGTTACTCTCCATCCTCTATCTCTTTTTTTCTCAGCCTTAAAATCCTTGACGGATTTTAAGACTGTGGCCAAATATTACCTAATGAATATCGATTAAGACCACCAATTCTTTGGGGTAGAATTACTAAAGGCAAAATGGCTGTTCACTTTACAAGGTAATTTGCATTTTGCAAAGGACATTTCTCTTAGCTTAGTAAATGTGGTGAATATCCAATCATGTGCAAGATAAAATGAAAAAACAGTATTTAGGTTGCATATGATTAGATGATGGAAGTCAGCAGAGCTTCACTTTGTTCACTAAGCTAAGGGGAAACTTCACCCTGCAAAGTCAAAATTCCCTTTGCAAAGCGAAACAGTCTAGTTGAATTTCATAAATCAACACCTTTTTCTCCACTTTCCTCTAGTGTAGTATTGGTATTAAAGAAAACCTGTCATGAGATAATTTGGGGGTTGCCATTGCTGACTTTGATCTGCTTGTTGCCTGGCCTATATGCTGACCCTTAGGCTTTTGAGTCATGACCCACAAAAAGTATGCAGATTGGGACCCACAAAAAGTATGCAGATTTCTCTCATGACAGTTGTCATTTAATAGCAATTAAGGCTTCTCAATTTGTGGCCACAGAGTTTTCTTGTCCTCCTGTTACACTCCATATTATGGGACATCTGTTATGCAATCTGGTGCAATGTACCCAGTTCCTTTTACAGTCTGATGCCAAAGCAATGATGTTCATAGAGACAATGCAGGCAATGGACTTGGTGACAGCTTGTTAATAAATGAGGTTTGGAGAAGAACCAGTAACATTACCAGACCACAGCACAGTACTGCTGCCATGAAACCTTGCCTTCACTGAGAAAATAATAGAAGCCTATAATCAAGAGAGTGATGTCTATCACGTATTATACAATTTTCTTGTTGAATTTAAGTATTCTCTATATACACTAAAGATTGTTTTGTAAATTAACTAAAACTAAACATAACCATTAGAATTCACTGTTACTTCCTTTTTAGACACTAGGGTATAAAATAAGAGTTCATTCTTATTTTATACCCTAGTGAGTTAATCCCCCCAGTGGGAACACACACAGTAATTAAAACCTGGCATATTTTATATTTTATCCCTACCCCCACTCTATCCAAAACTAAAAGAAAATTAGTTATAATTAAGTGATGGCTAAAAACAAAAATGTAATAAATTGCAGCTCACGAGTGCTTAGATGGTGGTGGCTGCATTCGTTTTCATTTTTCAGGCTAAGGACTTTGTTAGCAAGTACACAAAATACTTGTTGATCTTGCCAGAAATCCTTGTCACTTCCTGTGAGCTGAACGGAAAGAAAAACAATTGTATCTTTTTATATGTAAATTACTAACCTTATAATTTTCTATGTAATGGAGATAAATAGAGTCAGTGGGGGTGATTTACTAACCTAAACACACACACACACCAGGTGTGTGTGATTTTCACACAGCAAAACGTATTTATCAACCAAAAAGTCTCTAAAAGCATATTTCCACTAATGCCATATATGGAAAAATCATGCACATGATGCATATATAATGCTGCTTCACAGTTTAGACAAAAATGGTTAGCTCATGCATTTACATTCCTGCATTCATCAACGCAAGCAACACAACATAGAGCTAATTTACACAACATCACCTTGTAATTCTTTGCACAACACACCTGCTGGGTGTGTACACATTACAAAGGTGTTTAGATTCCACCCATAGATCATGCTGGGAGGGAACACACTGCAGAGGTGTATACACGCTCGTGGTGTGTTTATAAGGTTAGTAAATCAACCCCAGTGAGTGTAGCCACCTAGGGACAGGAAGTGAAAATAAATAGAAAAAAAAGCCTAAAAAAAGAAAATACATGCAGCCACTACATCTATGGACTGGTAGGATACAATATATAACATTTTTGTTTTGGGGTTAGGAGACGCTTGTATTGAGGCATTTTGTAACTAATCGAATAATGAAGGGCAGTGGCATATTATTAGTGGATCACAATCTCGCACACATTGAAAATACATTTTTCTTAAAGTGAACCTGTGCCCAGATCATGCACACTAAGGGGTCTATTCACAAAGCTGCCGAAGGATCTGGCCGTAGCTTCGGCTGATCCTTCGGCTAGCTTCGGCACCAGGACCCCTTCGGTTCAGGAGAACCGAGGGGGTGCTGTACGGGCTATTCAAAACATATACATATTCTGAAAAAGTAGTAAAGGACATTTTAAAACAAATCCTAATTTGCCTCTTTGCCAAGCATTGTGAAGGAATTAATTTTCAAATTTCATAACACGGACACTGGGCCCAATAAACTATACATTGTGTAGTGCCCTGTCTGCAGTGATTCTAATACACAGAGGAGCCTTATGCTCATATTGCACATTGACAGCGCACACCCAGCATGCTGTCACTCTACGTAGAGCATTACAGTGAGCTATAGCAGCTCAATGTATTTCTTCTTTCCCTCTCTCCCCTACAATCAGGAAGTGATTGCTGGGGGGAAAGAGAAGAGCAGGCAGCAGAACAGAACTGCCTACTCCCTCTTGTGAGCTTGCCTCACAGGGAACTTGTTGTCAGCGGCATCACTAGGGAGGTGCGGACCGCACCTGGGTGACACCTGCTAGTGGGTGACACCAGTGCACCACCAGTTCCCAGTCTGCTCCCAGAGCCGGGGAGAGATGG